ACAGACTCCGCCCATATAATAATAAACTCCACCTTTCAGAAACAGACTCCGCCCATATAATAATAAACTCCACCTCTCAGAAACAGACTCCGCCCATATAATAATAAACTCCACCTCTCAGAAACAGACTCCGCCCATATAATAATAAACTCCACCTCTCAGAAACAGACTCCGCCCATATAATAATAAACTCCACCTCTCAGAAACAGACTCCGCCCATATAATAATAAACTCCACCTCTCAGAAACAGACTCCGCCCATATAATAATAAACTCCACCTCTCAGAAACAGACTCCGCCCATATTATAATAGCTCCACCTCTCAGAAACAGACCCGCCCATATAAGGACGAACGTTTTTCTCAACATTTTGAATTTAATGTTGAAATAAGCCCCGCCTCCTGTTCTCCTCCGTCCAGTTGAAGATAAGTCCGGTGTAAATGTGCCCCTCCCTCCTCAGGTGTGGTGGTCGGTGAAGATGATTGGACGGCTGAGCCCAGGAGGAAGAAGCCGGTGAAAGGCAGCAGCCGCCTGTTCATTGGCGCCGCCATCGACGGGAAGTCGGAGTATTTTCCCACGCTGTCGAGCAGGAAGCTGGTGGAGAACGAGGAGAGCGACAACATGTTCCTGCTGGTCTACCAGGATGAGTTTGTCTCCTCGCAGATAAAGATCCCGTCCGACACGCTGTCCACCTACCCGGCCTTCGACATCTACTACGTGTACGGCTTCTCCAGCCGCACCTACGTGTACTTCCTGACGCTGCAGCTGGACACGCAGCTCACACAGATGGACGCAGGTGGAGAGAAGTTCTTCACCTCTAAGATCGTGAGGATGTGCTCCAACGACACGGAGTTCTACTCCTACGTGGAGTTCCCTCTGGGCTGCACCAAGGACGGGGTGGAGTACCGCCTGGTGCAGGCCGCCTACAAGCAGAAACCAGGCCGGAGGCTGGCCCAGGCGCTGGGCCTGTCGGAGGACGATGACATCCTCTTTGTGGTCTTCTCACAGGTGACCTCCTCTTCTGGACCGGTCTGAGCTCAGGGACTTTGTCTCCTTCATGGGGTCTCCAACTCTGCTTTTTCTGGGTCTTTCAGGGTCAGAAGAACCGCTCCAACCCGCCCAGAGAGACGGTCCTTTGTCTGTTCACCCTGCATGACATCAACCTGGCCATGAGGGACCGCATCAGCTCCTGTTACCGTGGAGAGGGCTTCCTCACGTTGCCATGGTTACTGAACAAAGAGCTGCACTGCATCCATACGGTGAGTTCCATCAGGACCACACAGACCCCAGACCAGGACCTGGGTCTGCACCGTACGGCAGGCTGTTTTAACATATAATCACATCATAAATCTGTCTGATCTCTCACAGAGAACATTAAGTTTTATTCATCAGAATGAAGAAAAGTATAAATATTTACAGTCAGAGTGGTAAAAGTACAAACTACTGTTTAAAGTACACAGATCACAGTTCAGTAAAGTTCAAATATTTGAACAATTTTAATGTCTGATTATTGTACAGATTGAGTGAGAGCAATGACTCAGATAATGAATTAATAATAAATAAATATATTTATAATATCAGCACATTACCTTCAGTTTAGTTTGTTCATAATAAAAATAATAAATATTTTATTTATTTCTGACCAGCAGGATTGTTTCTGTGAGCAGAAAACAGTGACATGTGATTATGTGGTAAAACTTCCTGCCATACATGGTTGTTCTGGACCAGGGTGGGACCCTCTGATCAGATGGTAAAGTTCTGGTTCTGGATGGAAAACTGTCTCAGTTTAACTTAAAAGGATCAAATTAGTTTGGGTTTGGATCTTCATGTGGTCCGGTCTAAAGCTGGACTCAGGTCCAGTCTGAGGGTCCAGACTGGAGCCTGACAGATCTGGCAGGGGGAGGTGGTCCGCCTGCAGTGGGGTTACTTCAGGTCAGGGCAGATGATGTTCTCATTCATGCTGGTAATGGCCTGCAGTCGTTACCGTGGCAACTGGACAGGGACACCCCGACAGGACTCCAGTTCTGGACCGGCCCGGATACTGGGAGATGGAGGGGGGGGATCGGGTCTGGAGCTGGGGGTTGTCCACGGCAACCAACCAACCAGTTACAGCCAATCAGCTGCTGATGAAGGCCTCTGTGTGTGTGTGTGTGTGTGTGTGTGTGTGTGTGTGTGTGTGTGTGT